TATATGCAATAAAATAGAATATATAAGCTATTGTATAACATGAAATATATTTATAATATATAAATATAATATATAAATATGATAAATGTGATGAGCATCATATACAAAGCAGTATATAGAGTATATATAATAGTATATAGTATATACTATATAATAATATAAGAATATATATTATACGTAAGATAATAATAGAAAATAATTTTTATATAATATATATTTTATTTAATATATATTAATATAATATATCCTATAGTATTCTATAATATAATGTAAATGTAATGTAATATAAGGTAATATAAATATTATATTCTATTATGTGTATTAATAATAATTACTATATTAGAATAATTGAATAATTGATGATTTTATATATATATGTGTGTATATATATATATATAAAAATTCATTTATATATATATATATAATATAAAATATTTATATATTTTTATATATGTTTTGGTTTTTTTAAAGCAAATATGATCTGTGTTAGCAGAGCCATTTTGCCCTCCCACCGGTGCATTTTCAAACCCAGGCTGAGGGGAAGGGAAAGCTGCTGAGGAGCAGAGACTGACCAGCAGTTTTGGCTTCTGCTCAGCAGGGAGCACGCTGAAGTTGATGATGGAGCGCAGCATCACCAGCAGGACGGAGAGCACGAACACGGAGAGCTCCTGGCGGTTCTCCTGCAGGATGCCCCTGCTCACGTAGTACACACAGAACACTGGGGGCGAGAGGCAATGTCAGAGCCAGCTCCAGCGGGCAAACTCCCAATTCCACAGCCACAGTGTCCCCGAGGCTCCTCGGTCTTTGTTCTTACCAAGGAGCTGGAATCAGGTGATTAAAGCACTCCCTGCTGTGTTTAGCACGCAATAAATTAAATAATTGGTTATATTTTTAAATTACTTGTGAAGTACCACTGTGAAGATGGCAGTGTATGTGGCAAGTACATTCTCACTTTCTCAGGATTTTCCACTTATTGTAAATGCAGGGGAGCCCAGAGGGGAGAAATGCTGCTGTGTGACTGCAGCTCAGAGGCTGAATGATTTCTTTATTATAACTATGCTATATTACATTAAAATACTATTTAAAGGAGATGCTAAAACTACAAACCTGCTTTTTCTAACTCCATATCTGACTCCCAACTCGTGACCCTCTCTGAGAGCCCAGCCCCAGGTGGGTTGGATTGGGTTGGGTTTGGTTGGATTGGATTGGGTTGGGTTGGATTGGATTGGATTGGATTGGGTTGGGTTTGGTTGGATTGGGTTGGGTTGGGTTGGATTGGATTGGGTTGAGTTGGGTTGGGTTGGATTGGATTGGATTGGGTTGGGTTGGATTGGATTGAGTTGGGTTGGATTGGATTGGGTTGGGTTGGATTGGATTGGATTGAGTTGGGTTGGGTTGGATTGGATTGACCATCAGGCTCAAACAATCCTCACCAGAATCCAACCCAACAATCACCCCAGGGAAACAATTCTCCAAACACATTCCACATGGGAAAAACAAGGAGCAGAACTGGAAATTGTTTTCTCTTTCTTTCCTCTGTGCTCCTCTGTGAAAAATCCTGAGAGAATGTGCTTGCCACAGTGTGTTATCCAAACTTCTATGAATGCCACACTGAACATTATGTCCAGTTGTTTATTTGAATTAAATGAAACAGCACTATTTTTATTTTAAAAATTAAACCAAATCATCTTCCCAGAGCAATTCAGTTTATTACTCACACACCCCCTGCACAGGGTCTGGCCACTGCTTGGGGTTTGTGTGTGGAACTGAAGTGGGGAAATTTTGAAACAACCCACCCTGCAAACTATAATCCAAAAAAGAACTGAGTCAGGACAGGTCTGAGTTTTATTTTTATAAAATACATCAAGCCCCCAGACAG